ATGGCGAGGTTACCTCTTGTGATATCATAGCATCGGCCGGTTGGTAAGTGGTATCCATGGTTATGGGACATTTATTGTAAGGCAAAAAAAAAACAATTTGTCTTATCTCAGCTCTAAATTACCGACTATTTTTATTCAAACTTAAATTGAATGCTTGATCCGCTGTATACTACTGTTTCCACAATCATAAAGAACAATTGACTGATACTCTTAAATATATAAGCACTAGTGCCAAAGGGAAAAGACCAAAAGTTGTAATGGAACTTAGCAAGAAAAGGAAACTCTAAGTGCATACCAGTCAAGAAAAACAAACCCCATATAGCCCAAAAACATGATCTAACGTGAAAAGAAACAATGTCTAATACCCCCTTTCCCCCACCATTCAAGAATCAGATAAGATAAGATTGAATAGTCCGTCGATTGTGTCTTAGTGGTAACATTCGACAACTAGATGGAATCAAATCATCGATTACAGACTCCAAACCATTCCATTTTTATGATTATATATGGTGTCATGAAGTGATTTGTTTTATCTTACCTTGCCACTCAATACGTTACTCAATTTACTTGAGAAAAATGTCAATTGACACTCGATCTGGTAGAAAGCGTCTCAGAAATCTGTGAAAATGGAGTGAACTGTTCGAAATATGAATCAGAAATTATCATTTCAGGGTAATACCATCCTTTATCATGAAAAGTGACTAAAATGATGATAAAACCAAAACAATATTTGTATCAGGCAATATATTAATAACAATTTATCAATGATTTAATAACAATATATCAATGACTTAATAACAATATATCAATGATTTAATAGCAATACAAGGGGCGATCCATATAAAAATGTTCTCATTTTGTGATTTTTTCACATATCCCTCTCATTGTTTCAGAACATACAATGCTAGAATATTATAGCTATATCTTAAATTATTTTTGAGATAAGGTTGCCATGGTAACATGTATTTAGGGTAAGCAGGTCAGTTAAATTATAACGTATAAAATAGATAAAGTTAATTTAATCATTCCTCGGTACCTATTTCAAGCAGATCAAACGCATATCCAGGTCATTGCCAACTATTCGTTGAACTGCTACATACCTTTGTTGCCCTTGTTTGCTATTTCCACAGTAGAATAGTTCTTTTTTCATGAATTGCATCTTAAATTATCGCAGTGTTATTCTCTGTTCGCATGCTCTTCTTGCAACCAGACTGGGAATGATAGAACAGTGACTAGCCTTCCTCAAATTTACAATACTACCTAGAGATCCTTAGAGCAGATATAATACCTTGTCCATACTATACGAGTCCATGTATGTCTCTGGCGGTGTCCTCTTACTTATTCTTGATAGTGCATAAAATCTAATGGTACTCCTAATGTATCTGTAAGGTTAATGCCACACTCTGCAACAGCCGCACTAACCTCACCTGATCTGTCATTTTGATATTTGGTGTGTCTCACGACATGTAATTCCAATTTGCCCACCCTGTCATACATCGCTATTGTGAGTTGTTGTGATGTTGTTGTGATCACAAATAAACATTTGTTTAGCAACAAATAACGAGAAACAACACCTAACCTTTTTTAGAAAAAATGTATGATTTCAGCATGTTTTAAGATTAACTTAAGATGTAGATATAATATTTGAGCATTGTATGTGTAATTACATAATGTACATTTTCTGAAAATATGAGAGGGATATGTGAAAAAATAGCAAAATGAGAGCATTTTAATAACAATATATCAATGATTTAATAACGATGTATAAATGATTTAATAACGATATATTAGTGTTTTATACGTTTTTAAATAATACTGTTGCAGCAGAAATCTTGATATTTGAGCAAAAATCTTATCATGGGCATTCGTGTCTATGTCCCAAATTCATCTATCTATTAATAAACGTTCTTGCTATTACATAACACACTTATTTATTAGAAGGTAAACGTATTTCATATCAAGTGGTGACATCTAATTTATGGATGATTAATCAATTTCATATATGACTCATCAAATGCCAAAGCGATCTAATTTGAGAGGACCTCTATCGGACAGATGTTTATGAAATGTCAGATGATATCTCAAATATTATGAGACACGATTTCACAATTTATTATTTTTCAACATTTCTAAGTAAAATCTTAAGCCAGATTCGAATTTCTGAGAATTCTGTAGATTTTTGAAAAATAAATTGGTCAATTTGAGCAAGTTTTTTATCCTCAGAAGGTCATTGCAGGTGAAATCTCAAATCTAAAGTCAGATTTAAACTTCTGAGAACTTGTATATAATTTTGAAAAATGTCAATTTGAAGCAAGTTGAAAAATACCTTTTTGACCTTGAGAAGGTCATTGAAGGTCAAATCCTTTTTGACCTTGAGAATGTCATTGAAGGTCAGATTTGAACTTTTGAGAACTTGTATATAATTTTGAAAAAGTCAATTTGAAGCAAGTTGAAAAATACATTTTTGACCTTTTGATCTTGAAAAGGTCATTGAAGGTCAAATCTTAATTGTAAAGTCAGATTTGAACTTCTGAAAACTTGTAGATGATTTAGAAAATAAATTGAAGTCATTCTAAACAGTATTTGTAAGTTATCGGAAGTTTTAAGAATTTGTTACAGAAGCCAAACGCCGCCCGCCACCTGCCGATCGCCAACCGCCAACCACCAACCGCCGTCAAAAAACGGAGATTGATATGCGAATCATGAAAACACATTTGGAGTGTTCGCCAATATGATGCACTCGATCTCCAAATCGAGAGTACTCTTTTAAAAGACAACTCAATTTCTTATATTTTATGATTATAGAAAATAAAATGTATATCAAAGTCTATTAACCTAACAATTAGCCCGTTTTCTCGGATTGTCCCCAGTTCCGCGCAAGTCATATTACCGAAATACCGATGTTTGTAAATACATATAAAACGTATCCAACATGAATCGTGGTATTGAAAAATAGACTGATAAATATATGAATTAAACTCTGTTAAAAGATCAAAGATCTGTTAAAGAAAAATCAGCAATAGTGTAAACATTTATTTTTACGGTGTAACTGTAAGCATAATCTGACATTTTATATAGTATTCACGACACTGCGAATTCGACTAACGGCAAATTCCCGTTGAATATTGCAAATGACATCGGTAATTAAGTAATCATAAGTCATCGTCAGTAATCTTGTCGACTCAAGTGCCTGATTATCTATTAGTTTTAGTTTGTTTAAAGATATACCAATAGTATAAAGAAGCCAATTTCACACGTTGGTTGTTATAGTTCCTATGTATTCCTTTATTTGCGCAATTGTTAAGATATAGAGGTTCTTACAAGAAAATCTATACGCAAGATCGTCCATTATCAATGGTGAGTTTTGACAATTATTTATTGGGTTGAAAACAAAAATCAACAATTGATAATCTTGCACTTTCGTATTTATAGGAACCCCTGCATCGTGTTCAAAGGAATATATCTTTTCACCAGGTACCTCTTATTTCTTGTGTTAATATTTTTTCATATACGGTGAATTATATGCCCCTTAAAGTGTCTTCCATATGGTATTATATCTTTCACTTTTCCTTGTAATTTACGAATTGAAAAATTTATCATATATGCCATGCTTTCCCCTTTTATTACAGAACTTGATTTAAAACTGAAACCTTTAAAAACCATACAGATACTTTCCATTTCGGCAAATTCTGTCAGATGCATTATACTGAAGGCAACAGTGTTTATATTGCCATTATTGTTGTTCAAAACCAAATGAGGTCACGAGTAATTTCACTTTAGCACACTGTTCCACAGTTGGATGACTCTAACTGCAGTTAGTATCATTCAAGATGGTTGCCAAAATTATAAGCTAAACTAAGTTGAATCTAGATTCCAATTGTTTCGCCATGCAAACTAATAAAGTAACAAAATAATTGAAAACAGTCAGGAAAAATGCTCAGACACCCGCATTATAGAGTATTTTAAAGAAAACAGCGTCACGTAAAATGACTTAATTGAAGTTGATGATACACTTAACCTAAACATGATATTCACCATTGATGACACTAACTAGGATGGCCTTGCATGTATTCATCCCATAGGGTTCGTGATCTTTATCCACTGTTTCTGTTATAGTGTCATTCCTACGTCATCATCAAATTCAGTTAGACTTATTCTAAGTGAGGCAGTTTTCTTTAAATTTCTCGAATATCGTGGGTGTTTTCCTGTGGCTGTTTACAAGCATAGCTTCGTTAGTTTGCATTAGGCGAAATATCCAGATTTAACTTAGTTTAGTTGAAATTGTGAGTTTATTGAAAATGAAATAATTTTGGCCACCATCTTGAATGATACTTACTGTAGCTAGAAACATGTTTTACTTGTTTCTTCTCTGAAATAAAGTAAATAAAGAAACAACCAAAAACTGTAGTTAGAGTCATCCAGCTGTGGAATGTGTTTGGGAAGACCGATAGACGTTGACTAGCTTTATGGGGTGAAGATGACTAAAACTGAGATAATTATATGAGAAAATAGTCCAATTAAACACGTTGTCCTTAACTTTAAATTCAATTCAAGGTTGTCCAGAGTTAGCTATTATCAACGTTTCTCCGTTTGTAAACAGAGAATTTAATTTAAGTCACAAATAACTCCCGTGTATGTGTATCTATTGTGTGTATGTTCCACCAAAGTTAATTTTGTTATTTTTTGTTAAACATACTTTTTTCTATGTTACCAAACATTTGTAGGAGAGTGTACGTCCATGTTTTGATAAATTACACAAACTTCCCGGTGTATATTGCTGCGCGTATTATCACCAACAAACTAATAAAAAATTCTAAGAAATGATAAGTTCAACGATTGCCAAGATTCCACTTCAAGAACTTACCACCTCGTTAATGATTGATTTAACCTATTGAATGTTATCTTTTCTACGGTGTTTAAAATGATCTTATAATAATATAAGACAATAGAACTGCTTGAATAGCTAACCTCTGATTGATAAACGTAAATTTTAAACTTGAACAAGATCATTTGGATATTTCTTGTTTATGATCATATTTTTTTGAAACAAGGACAGTGCTTATTCATAATGATACAGTAGATCTGAATCAAAACATAACCGAGCAAATTTTTTATGTACAAGAACATGACTTGATTCGTTTGTTGATTGGATTGTGAACATGGAGCATGGGAAGCTAGGATAAAAATATCTGAATTTAAAAATGAAACTCGTGAACGGTGTAGTTTTGATATGGTTGGTGATCTTATTTGATGATTGCTTTGCTTCTTGGAATGCACATAACTACTGGAACAGTAGACACGGGGATCACATGTTCGTGAAATATGCTGAGGGTAGGTCACTTACATACATACACTTCCCTCTATAAGTTTGGCAACCTTTGTAAACATGTTTTATCAAACAATTTCCGCACTGCTGAAGAATCAACTCAGTAGTTTTTCCAAAAACAATTTTTAGTGAAATTTTCGTTAAGATGGATATGTGGAAGATACTGTAGTAATCTTTATAGCCTTCACTTATTAAATGTATTAGTGCAGTTGTTTGGTTTATTCCATTCGCTATGACGAGGGTACATGATTTGGTCACATATTGGGAATGGCCTTTTTTAAGATAGAATACCGATTTGTTGAGTTGTATTATTTGAATCTTTATTGTTGAAACGAGTTCTGAACAATTGATTCAGTCATGCATGACAGTAAATACGTGATTTGATCACTTTTGATACAAGAGAGTTACATTCATATTAACATGTAGAGAAAATTATGTAAGATTATAAAACATATTTATGTTACTTGATGTAAGGTAAAGAGGATAACTAACTTTTATCAACAAGAAATTGTCTATGCCTGTGTAACTCGTACACATGCATAGCCACTTTAAGAATAAAATACTGAATCGCTGCAAGTAGCTAGTCTAAAAGGGAAAAATATCAAAAACCATCAAAAGACTGCGAAATACAGGGTCAAACAGGGACCGAGTCCGCTCTGGAAGGTGTTCCATTCTACCTTGAGAAAATACCATTCCAGCTTATTTAAACTAGGTTTATACCACGAGCGCAATACCATGCTAAATATCGACAGATTTTCATATTTTGCCTGTTTACGGCACAGTTAGGCATACAGGATGTAATATGATAATGGACAATAAAACATATAGCAATATCATGGCAATCATAAATCTAATATGTTATGTTTTATGTTTGCAAAACTCGCAAAGCTGTATGTGATCGTGCACTTTCAGCATAAAAAAGCAACAAAAAATAATGAAAAGAACCTCTTAAATATTAAGCCTTAACAACATCGACTGTATTTTAATTCCAATTCCAATGCCACTTAAGGATGTCTGAACATCAGACGAACATAATGCCAAAATTCCATGACTTTACATAACATATTAGCGAAATTATATAGGGAAACGTATTGTCAAGATTTCCAGTTTGAAATGTTGATCACACAAAAACCTACAAAGGTTGTCAAACTTATGAAGAGGAGTGTATATTACACACTGTGGATCAAATGGCAAACTATGACTCTTTTTGTGGGAGGAATGATTCAATAACCTAATATATTATAGAAAATAGGGAGTTTAAGCTTGCAATGTTTTTCACAACTTTGACGTGAACGGAAAATATTTAAGCGATGCATTTGTATAGGCGATCGGTCATACGTATAGGTTGGCGTTTCGATTTTATATGCAAACTTAAACTTCCTAGGCCTATTATATCGGTTAGATGACGGGCTTCTCTACGACCATGAAATACCCATAGAACGAAGATGACGTACATCAGCAATTTCTGTACGAGCATGAGGTGAAATCATTCTGTTGACGTGGTTTTATTTCAGTGGACACAAAGCACGTTCTATGGTCAGACGATCCAACCAATGGTCACTATGGATACGATCAAGACCTCAATAAAATTCCCGGGTGTGCGGGTTGTAAATGTGTCGCATGGAAGGGAGGTGAGGTCAAAGACTGCACGGGACCTTCAATGTAAGAAACTCGCCTAGGACTTTAGGATCTAGATTTATTGAGACCCTTTACATATGACGTCATCATATTCTACGAGTATAAAATGTCTATGATAATCAGATAAGACAGATGAGCCTCTAAAGATTCTAAAATATCTCAAAGACATCAGCAAATAATATTGTTTTCATTCACATAAATAACATTTTACGCCAATCAAATCAAATCTGTGTTTTAGATTTTGTGTTTTTTTTTCAGTTTAATAAACAAGATAAAGAACATAAGTTTAGCTGTCAATGCATTCACAAATACACGTATTTCAGAAATGTAAGTACTATTATTGTTATAGAAGCTGTTAAAAACACTGGCAGATCCAAGGTTTAAATCAAAAAAATTGGGCCCAAATTTTGAAAAATTTGGGCCCATTTTGATATTTTGGCCTAAAAATGCCAAATTATGCTCTAAAAGGGGGTACTAATTGATATAAACAACATTTTTCTTGGTCCACCTAAGGGGCACCCCCCTGGATCCGCCAGTAACAAAGAAAAGAAATTGGTGCAACAGTGTAATTCAACCTAATAGCAGAATATACATATAGCTTGGCAGTTTCAATAAAATGACTTTGTGATCTCTCATGCGTGCAACAGTTTAATTAAATCACATTCCATGTTACTATCATGTTATAATCGTAAAAACGTGTATTATATCACCTTCATTGTTTTCTTACATTGATATATAAACAATGTAATGAAAAGTAAATAGGGATAGAAATAAATAATTCATTTTAACCGTTTTTTCAGAACAATTGTGAATTGCCCTGATCTCATCAAGTTAGATCCTAAAATCTTTACGAATCTAACGTCTCTTGAAACACTGTAAGTATAAAAATAGAAAATTGGATAATATTTTGGATAGTATCATAATGTTATAAAAATTGAACAGGACTTTTAATACAATCTTAATTATAATGGTAACTACTAATACTCATTTTTCTCTTGATTTGGTTATTGTTTCAATCCCAATATTTTATTTTTTAAAATTATATATTCGTACATACTTAAGCTTATACGAAGTCGTGGTTACAAAATTCGAATTCAAGCAGACGCCATTTTGTTCGCTTCAACATTTCAATCGTGAATATTGTCTTGTTTCCAAACGAAAAATTCCAAAGCTCATAAGAAATGATCGAGATATTGGTTCGAATCTTTTGGACCGTTTAGTTTGAATTTAAAGTCAGTTATAATTTCAGAAAATAACGACATTTCGACGTTTTCATTGTTGGAAAATATCGAGTTTCGATCCTGGGAGCCAATCCTCCTTGGAATATAACTGCAATATGGTTGCTATGTTATTCCATGGAGCTTCATAATGTGATTTCTTCATTTACAGGCGTATCCAAGCTACTTCTATAGCAAGTATACCCGATTTGAGTAGGAATACTAGATTAAAGATATTGTAAGTTGCAGTATACGAGAGAACATAGATGGCAAAAACTAAAAGCACACAAAAAGCATACCCTCTTTAAAGTCAAACATACAATAACCGTCTTGGGACTTTTTAATCACGTTCGCTTGTCAACAATAGAAAAGTGATAGAAAACCGAATTATTCTTCAGTTTAATCCAAGAATCACCAAAATGACATTTGATTTGATTATAAATTTTGATGTTTCTGTATGAGTTTGCTTGTTTTTATTTGCTAGAAAAGTTGTGGACAACAATATAGAGATCAATACTGTGAACCACAAAGTCGGATCATTTCCCAGAACCTTGACACACGTGTAAGTATTGTCTCTCGAATGATACATGTACTTGTGTCACTTTATATTTATCATGATTTTTTAAATACCTTGACACTCGTCTCTTTTGAGTAAAATACTTATGATAGAGTTGTGCATAATAAACCCAAGAAAATGACACGAGCGAAGTATGGAATGATTATTATTTTCTTGATAAGCGATATTCTGCATCTAAGCTACTTATGAATCAAATCTATGATATAAAATCGTTCCTCTCTAATTTATCTTCTCTCATTCTTTCTTCTCCACGTAAATATACCTCTACATTAAACTTCACTTCACAAACTACACTACACTACACTACACTTCACTGCACTACAATATTGTTATAAAATAGCAAAACTTTCTATATTACTTGTCACTGTGCATCAAATTTTAGGGCGCTGATGGAGAACAAGATTAAAAGTCTTCCAGATGGGACGTTAAGTAATATCCCTGGTTTAAAATTCATGTAAGTATTCCCGGACACGTGTCTCCGTTTATATTTTTACCTGAAAATCCATCTGTTTTACTCTCTTGAATCATTCGGTTTTCTTACTGCTAACTTGTGGGTACCTGCCCATGTGTCTATATCTTTATCTGAACTATTCTTTTCTGAAATAATACTGCTTGATAATTCCAGTGGCCTCAATGGTAACAAGATGAAAAATTTTCCACACAGAGCACTGACAAATCTACCAAGTCTGATATACTTGTAAGTAAAGACTAATGGAGGAAATCGCACTGAGAACCATTTTAACATAAATATCAAAACATCTGAGAATATTTATAGAGTTATTTGGAAAGTCTAGGTTGAATGAATAGTGGAAGTTTGGACATTGTACACATGGGCTTGAATTCTAAAATGTCCACTTGGACAAATGTTTCTATTTTATAGGGGGATAAGTGAAAATATGATCAAATCGATCTCTACGGCACACATGCGGGTATTTCAAGCCACAGATCTGCAGCATTTGTAAGTTATTAACATTTTCCATTATGTATTGCATTATTCGACGGTGACAGTTTATTGTACTATCATAAAGCATAGATATAAAAATGGAATGATTCAAAATGATGACCTTTATTTCATTTTTGTACTCACAGCGCTAAAAGTAAAACATGTACACAATCATTTTTCCTTCTTTATCTGTCCACCAAGAAATGATGACATATAACACAAAAATGATGAGATATAACACAAAAAATGATGACATATAACACAAAAAATGATGACATATAACACAAAAATGATGATATATAGTGTATGACAATATTTTTTGACCTTTGACAATTGTTACACGTTTGTAATTGCAATCATGTGGAGACATTGGGGAACGTAAATGTTGTGAAGTTGTCTGGATGGCTTCCTGTAATAAAGTGACCTTCAGAATTGTATTTTTTATTTTATTTTTATTTATTTATTTATTTATTTATTTATTATCATATTCATTTGGTATTACATTAACAGTGTTGGCACTTGATACCCATAATAGGGCATATCAGTGCTAAAATCAAAAGTTGTACAGTATTGACCAGTTTTATTTACCATGTCAATCAGTCTTGTTAATCATCATTATTTCTCCGATAATAATTAGTTACTGGACATTAGTACTAAACTTAAGATATATCTGGTTGGATTGTGTATAAGTTCAGTATTCAAATAGGTTCATCTGCCAAATTAAATAGCATCAGTACTGCCTTCCTGTCTTACATGTCCATCTCTCCAGATTAGAGTCTGTATTTACATGTATAGCAAATTGGCATGCAATCACGTAATGGCTGTAGAGTTTGACTATTTCTAATCAAAATAAAACATAAAAGTGTCACATGCTATTGATTTTCCTACCATGTTTCATTTCCATGTCACATGTCTGATATGCAATATATGAAGTTTACGATATTCAGCACCAAGCAGTGATCTAAGTAAGATATTCAAAATAAGCATACTAGTATATAATGAATAAACACAAGGAGCACACGTGTCTCGAACTCGCAACCTCGTGGTTACGGCGCCCAATCGCCTAGCTTGAACGTGCCGGCGCTCAAGCTCTCTCGGCCAACTCGACAAGATATACAAAAATATAACTATAAAGAGGAGCTTTCTTCTGTTTTGTCCATTTCTCTGTTTTATCGATTTGGATGCTGACCCTCTGATGGCTTTTATGGACTTCGGATGTTGTCTGTTCCACATTATTTGAGACTGAATTCCCTATCTTGTATGAATACTATAGATACACACACCTATTTTTGATGTTATGAGTATTGGTTTATCAATTTATATTTATTCTTCAACATATATTGTAATGGTTGTATGAATGAAATGTCCCTTGATGTTATGGTCATGTATTGTGATAATGGAACTTGAATGATGGGGGAAGGGGGCATTAGACATTGTTTCTTTTTTACGCTCGATTATAGTTTGGGACAAAGTTGGGGTGTGTTTTACTTATAACTGGTGTACACTTTAATTTTTCTCTTGCTGGGCTCTGTAACAATTTTTGGTACTTTCCCTTTGGCACTTGTGCTCATATATTGTCTAATATTTGATTACTAGTGCCATTAATTAGTGTTGCTGTTTAATGTGTTGGTGTTCATCTGATATGAATCAGTTACACTATTTCCTCTTCCACAGGTAGCAAAATTCCACCTGTGAAACATCTTTTTCATTTCATCTCTAAAAATCTTTCCAGATGCACAATAAAGAAGAAAGTTGATAGCTTGGTTTGAGTGGGCAAGCATGATAACAATGGCCTTGTGTAGCTCTCCCGTTTCATTCCATTGTTTAAAACACACCGAAAATGGAAAATTCAAACAAATGAATGAAAAGTTACAGAGCAGCAATATTATGGTCATTGAAGCGATCTGATTAGAGTTCCCTAATCCAGATTTTTTCCTTGAGAGCATTTTAGCAATGATAGCTATATTTGCTGATAGCATCAAAAACGAAGGGAGATAAGATGTTGTTATACCATCCAGCCAGCCATGCATTGACATGTAATCTTCTGATGGTCCACTGCAGTCTGTTTCATTGTAAACGTCAACTCGTAGCTTATAGTTCCACAATATATGCAAGTTTAAACCAAGAAGCACGGCAAACACACTAACGAGTATTACAACTGCCCATTTCACATTAAAGATGACCTTTGCTTTCAATGGGGCAAATACCGCAAGAAGTCGTTCAGAAGTCACTAGCACAAGAGTCCATGCTGATAACTGTACGCTGAAGAATCCCAGGAACATCAATATTGGGCATACCCATGTATTCATAAGCGTAACATGGCTAATTGCTTGTAGGCCATAAGGGAAAACTCCAACCCATAGACCAAATGTGTCCACCACGGCCAGTGTGATTAGATACACATGTGTGATACTTGTACGAAATTTCCTTCTTCTAAACACTGCTATAGATAAAGCATTTCCGATTGTTCCTAAAATTAAAATTATTGGCGACCAATATGTGATCAGTATTTTGTCAGTACCTATTTCGGTAAAATTCATCCCCGAGGATCCATTTGAGTTGATAATGATTCCTCGGTCCAATAATGCACTGTTATTTCTCTCTTGTTTCATTTCAGCAACTTTACACACAGAGCAAGTGTTATGCATGTGAAATGGTTTTTACTTGACACCCATTATATTCATTATATTATGTATATAGTTCAGTTGATTTCCTGTACAACGCATGATAATAACAATTTTAATGGTCCCCCAACATGCCAATATGTGATCAGTATTTTGACAACCCAATTTATTTAAAATAACTCCATTTGAGTTGATACTTGCTATCGACACAGTATTATCACTCTCTTGGCTATTTAATATTTTACGAATTCAAATTTATGTTTATATATTAGATGGTTCCATTCTGGTTTTAATCGTGGGACACCATTGATATTATGAATACATATCAGTTGATTAAATACCTGTAAATATGACAAATGTGTATCCTAAACCAGTGATCCAACATGCAACGACCCAGTGCTAACACATACATTCCCTTTCTATAGCATCACTACAATTATGCACCCAGCCGCAAGTTTAAAAAGTATTTAAATTTTTATTTTAGAAACCTGAGCAACAACCATCTGACGTATATACAGCCACAGGCGCTTACATTAATTCCAAAATTACAAATACTGTAAGTATTTATTTTAAGTTATTACATATCGTGTGGTCGCTCTGTCTCTGAAAAATATATTGATATACACTGTATAGTACTTATTGTATTGCATTGTTTTGGATTTCAGTGAACTACACCATAACAACTTAACAAGACTTGAAGTGGGAGTGATAGATAATCTCAAAGATCTTCTTCATCTGTATGTACAAAAAGTTATTTTCTTTCATTTAAACTCCCAGGGCTATAATTCAATCTGATAGTGAACAACTGGAAATTATTGAGATAAGGGTCATAGAATATTCATATTACTATTTTATTGTATTACTCGTTAGGTTTTAGAGGTATACTATTTACACCAATAAAATGATATTTGCACATAATGTACAGTTGTACAGTTGCAGTTCCAAAACCAAACAATAAAATATGACAGTTAACATACTTGTTATAAAGATATAACACCAACAAAATACTAGTAGTGCCTTTAACAGAAAAGGAATAGAATTATACTATTTTGCATATTCGTTTACCGACAAAATAGTTAAGTTTTACAGCCAAGCAATAAAATTATATTATTTTATTTTGCATACACGTTTTAGAGATATAAATACTAACAAAATAATGCAGTTAAATAGCCTAGCATTGACCAACTTGCCAAAACTGAGAACATTACGACTGCACTCCCAGAAACCTGGAATGTCTTCAATTATGTTTGATGCAATAGAAAATATTGGCCAAGAACTGTTGCATCTGTGAGTTCATTTTAGTGTATTAAAAACGCTTTTAAATCTTAAAATATAATTATAATTTGTAAAATGCATTTTAATTGTCTGAAAAAGTGTTAATGTCTGCTGATTTTTTAATCTTAATTCTGTTCCTCAATAACAATAACGTCGAATATTAAAAGATATCACAACATGAACGTCTCTTACAAACGATTCAGAAACGAGACTTGAAATTGGAATAACGAACTTTTTGTATTTCAGATGGATCAGTGACAACAAGTTTGTTCATTTTCCACATCAAGTTTTGTCTGAAGACACCTATCCCAAGTTAGATGAGGTGTAGGTTGTGAACAATATTAGTTTTTCTATTCAAAGACATCGAGGGGTTCAAGCAAAAAAGTACTAAGTGCACTTTTGTTAGTTTTGAGAAAATGAAGAAAAACACTTTGATTCTTTACTATAAATCAGACTGCTGTTTATTCAAATATCGATTTGTTTCATCTTAATGATACATGTAAGGGGTTTTATTTCCTTAATTACCAATTCTGAAATGTTATGCAATAACGCATTATCTGGGGATTTGTAAATAGTATTTTTTTGCACAATGTATTTTTCAAAAATGTTACCAGCAAAAACATACCATATGCATTATAGTATTTTTTTGCATGACAAAATAACATTTTATACTAATGTTTTTAACTAATTTCTTCATCCATTTTGCTTGTAAATGTTTTCTAAAGTCTAATAATATGTCTTAAGTCACTCTATAGTAAAGTATTTTCTCTAAGTCTATTTTGTCCATGTTAACTCCCTTGGATTTCCAGTCATTTCTTTTCTGCCAACTCATGGTCCTTGATTTCACCTGAAACATTCAAATCATTATCATGAAATTATGTTTTCAACAAAACAATGGATGGTACTATCAACATAAAGATTACTGTATTATAATGTACTTATCAATTAATTTGTGAACCTCACCTATTCGTCTGTGTCATAGTCACTATCATCTGGATGGGGTACGGGGAGTCTATCCTTCATGCCAGCTGGCTTCACATTCAGACTGTGGTAATAGGCATGGTGATCTGTTGGAATCACACCACTTCTGCATAGTGATAGAAGGTCATCCTTTTTGGCCTTTGTTATAGGGAGTTTTTCTTGGTACGCATATGGGATGTCTTGGTCTTTACTAAGCTGACGCCCCCTGGTGGTCTTTGTAAGTTTGACTTCTACAAAAGGGCAATCGAAGCTATATTTAAGCTGTAGTGAGTCTGGTTTCTGTTTGCAGTAGCGGATCCATTTTATCTGCCGCCACAATACTGCCTTCCCTGTTGTGTCTGTTTTAGTGTTTGGGTATATCTTTTTCAGAGATTTGAAGTTTCTGAAGTCAGTAAACTTGAGGGGAATAACAGAGTATGGTTTATTTCTCCTGGCCATTCTAATAACGATGTCCCAGTTACTTGGGACATAGACTGATGTTGCCTTCTTTGCACCTTCAATGGCACTGTGCATGAAGTCACACTCCATTTGGGTATGGCCACTCTCCAGGAACTTCTGGTCCACTCTTTGAATCCTTGGATTGCCTCCAGAATGAACTGCATGGTAGAAGGCCAAGGCAACAAACTGGTTTTTATTCTGTCCTCCACATGTGTCGGAATATGTTGTTAGAGTGGTAACTGATGGTGGCAGTCCTTTAATGTATTGTGTTAGTCCAGTCGCGATCTCATTCGATCCTCTCTGTCCATTGGTCTCGTCCCAAACGTAACAAGTTCCTCTTTTATCACCCAAAGAGTACACTGACAAATTGTATGTTGCTAGTTTTCGTTTATAAAAGAGTTCAGAAACTCTTCCACAAGGGGTGGCAAGCACTGCCTCCATATCAAAGGTTACACAATGGTGCGCTTTGCTGTTTATCGCAGTTCTCTTGTCATTTTCTTTCTCTTGTCTTGCTCTTTCTTTATCTTGGTTATGTTTAATGTATCTAAGTTTTATATCTGCATGGTCTGGACCAGGATGTTTACAACTTTCTTCAAATTTCGAACATGTCAGACATTGATCTTTCTTAGGCTTGAAAAACGAGATGTTATAGTTTTGGGTAAATATTCTCCTGTACATACGTTCATTTATAGTTGGCTTGTGATATTGTTTGCATTGTTCAACATAGAGTTCATGCATTTTTCTAATATTTAAGCCAATCTCCAGATATTCTTTCTTTGAGTCCTTTCTTGAATAATGCGAGGCTAACCTTGGAAAGGACTCTATGTGTTTCTTCACATCATTGATTATAGGTTCAGGAGTTTTATTTGCAGCCTCCGCTTTGCCTCTCTTCTCCTGCCCAACATATTTCCCACACTTTTTACTTTTCATGATATTAGTAATCATGGTCTGAGAGACATCAAATGTAGCAAGGAACATTTTCTTACATACCCTGCGTGCTATGTTGTTTTCATCATATAACCTGTATTCTCTTGAAGTACTTCTCTTTGATTCTGGTTTACATCTAATTGGTTTGTTGTCAGTTACCAACGAGCAAAGATAATCTTTTTGTCTGCTGTCTAGTTTCATGTCCCTGAACTCTGCAAATATATCCTCTCTCTGTTCCAAACTGATTTTTTCATTACAGTTGAATCGACAGTTGGTGCAATCAACATCTCTGACTTGCCGGGCCTTGATAGTTTTGCCAAGATGGTTAACATATTCCTTCCCTGCTAATCTATTTGCTTTATTTGTATTCCTCTTCCATGTTTTAGGCTGAGATTGTACCCTTGCTCGGACAAGCGTTTTCTTCCTGGGACTCTTGTAGTTTGCAGTTTTTCGAGGTGTAACATTGATTGATAGATTTTGCCCTTCTTCATCTTGAATTATGCCATCATCATTCATTAAACCTTCATCATCAATTGAGTTATCGATCCATGGATCATGCTCGTTTTCATAAGCTGAACTGTTGTCATCTATAGCATGGTCACCAATCACATCTGTATTTGTTTCATTTATATCAACTCTGTTTGGAGGTTCTTGGTGTTTGGGATTACACGAAGACTCAGGCCTGTCAACTGTCCCGCAATTTGCGTATTTGTCACGCATTTGCTGAAGAATTTGAAGTCACGCCAGTTTTTTTTGCGTGACAGAAAATGTCACGCAAAATACGCATTTTACCTGGTAATTGTCAAGCAAAAATATTTCTGTAGAAATTTTTTCGAAATATGTTTACGATACGGTAAAAATACGAACGCCGGAAAAAACCGAACGCAATTTGTTCGGATTTGTCACGCGAATCCCGTATGTGTCACGCATGTTCATTGGAAATTTTTCGTACCTACCCCCCCCCCCCCCCCCCCCCCCCCCCCCCCCCCCGTTGACGATATCGCGAGCGTAGCGAGCGCGAAAAATTTGAGGTGTTCAAAGTTTGGCAAAGGTGCTCAAACTTTGGCCAAAGGTGTTTAAAAGTTGGCCAAAGGTGTTCAAAATTTGGACAAAAGTGTTCAGATTTGGACTTAGGTGTCCAACATTTTGAAGTCACTCATATTAGGTGGTCCCAAGTTGACAGCCCTGCGAAGTTGATTCCATTTCTGGCGGTTGATTTGTTTCATTTATATCAACTCTGTTTGGAGGTTCTTGGTGTTTGGGATTACACGAAGTTGATTCCATTTCTGGCAGTTGATTTGTTTCATTTAGATCAACTTTGTTTGGAGGTTCTTGGTGTTTGGGATTATACGAAGTTGGTTCCATTTCAGGTGGTTGATTTGTTTCATTTAGATCAACTCTGTTTGGGGATTCTTGGTGTTTGGGATTACATGAAGTTGGTTCCATTTCAGGTGTTTGATTTGTTTCATTTAGGTCAACTTTGTTTGGGGATTCTTGGTGTTTGGGATTACATGAAGTTGGTTCCATTTCAGGCGGATTATTTTGAGATATGGGCATGCATATGTCGTAGTGCTCGTGCCCCGGTATAGCTAAGTATGTCAAGCTAAATTCTGGTTCAGTTGAGAGTCCAGTTTGTTTCTCAACATAGTTACTTTCAATTGTTGGTTGAATGTATTGGATATAGGCTGATCAGACTTGGTTGTATAGACTGTGAATGCTTGCTTATATAAATTGGCCAATGCAAGTAGCACCAAATCTCCTGCATTTGCTGTCCAAGAATCCCTTAGCTCTTTAATATGTTCTTGATACGGTTTGTCCAAAACAAGGAAATTCTTATATTCATCCTGCTCTGCTATTAGGTGCTCTATCACTTGTTCTTTCAATTGGCCAGCAGGTTGACCAACAATAATACCTGCAGCATGAAAAAAGCAATTGCCATCTCCAGGCACCTTAGCTAATATCTGGCCATTGCTTCTCAAGAGAGCATCCATCTTTTTACTGTGTGCTTTTACAACAGCATTTTTTTCCTAGCCTCATCTCTGCTTATCATTATAGCTTTCTCCATATCAGCATTATAGTTTTGCTTTGGTCTTCTTGTGGTTCCAAACCTTTTTTTACGGGTTTTTATTACATATTCTAGACTTTTTGATTTGTTTGGTGTTGAGATTTTATGTTTTCTTTTCTTTCTTTGACTTTTTGACATGCGTATATTTTCATTTTCATCAGAAGATATAGGATCTGACATTGATGTTTCAGATATATCTGGCCTGTACTCTGATCCTTCTGATAAATCAGAATCCAAAAGTGTGGCTAGTGGTTCCAAATCCGAGTCGTTCCACCTTGTTGTTTTCATCAGGGGTTCGTCATCAGAAGTATCAAAATCTTCTGACTTGTACTTTATCTTGTTCACTTGTCTAGTCTGTCTAGTTTCATATCTTATTGAACCTTCTCGTGTGGGCAGATCAGGGTGTGATGGAGTGTCATTAGATTTGCTTGTGACAACATTGGATAATGGTTTTGCTTATCATACATATCTGCCCTTTGCTGCAGATGCGTACACATAGATGAGCCTAAATCGTAAAAATTGTATCGTATAGATTATATCGTACAAAACACAAAAAGGCATACAATATATAATTGCTTTGTAAATTATAGTAATGGAGCGATAACATATATTGTATATGACATTCTATATTTATAATATTTCAAGTTAAAACGTTTAAAGTAAAACACTGGCAAAAATATTGCCCATTTGTTTTCATACTTCACCCTTGTTTAATTATAAATTTTCAGCTATGCGGACCATAATTCAATCATTAATGTGACAACTTATGGTATTGAAGCATACACTCCCCTAAGCTACGTAGTCTATTACCAAAAGTTGAAAACACACATTCCATTCTCCACCCTCAGTTCAGTTAGGATTATGTGAGTATGACGCTCCACAATGATCTAAGTGCTCTGTATCACTAAATTACCAAATACCTTATGGAGATATTTTTAATTATATTTTGTATTATTTTTAAATTGATAGACGTCCCATTACTTGAAAAATGATGGAAACAATAAATGTTTATGCTTTTTGACAGGCACTTAGGATACAATTCTATCCCTGCATTGAATAGAACAGATTTGGATGAACTTACGTCTTTAACGGAGCTCCATCTTTCAAACAATAAACTCAGAAACGCAACACTTCACAAAGATGCTTTCAATGCATCAAGGGATCTGAGACTATTGTATGTATACGAATATGTTAAAAACAAATGGTATTTTTATATAAATATTTATAAATTCACATAAATCCATATATTACTTTACGTCCACCATCTTATTTTTGTATACTTTTCATCAGGGACCTATCACAAAATCTTTTTGAATACGTACCTGACGCAATACGATCTGGGGACCGCCTTCCATCAATTCGGCGTCTGCGATTACAAGCGAATCGCATCACCTTTATAGAATCATGGTCCTTCAGAAATCTTACAACTCTCTCGGATATGTAAGTATTATTGAATCTATGAATGTTCATCTCTCTGGTAGTAATGTACTATTAACAAGTTGGTGATTTTCTTTCTCATAGTTTTCTTTCTCATAGTTTATATACACACTACTATACCTAACACCTAGAAATGCATAAGATACTTTGTTTGTCTAATTGAATTGTTTAATATATTTTTGAAAGTACCTTACTAGCATATAATTTTTAACCGATAAACCATTCATAAGGAACAGACAAATAAAAACAAATACATAATCATTACTAATAAGCCAAATGGGTTGCTCATGAACACCTATTGCAAGGTATAGTAGTGTGATATAGTAACGGTTGCTATTTGTCTCATTGTTATGTAATAATTTATTATTTCAGTTTTATTCAAATATAATTCTATTTCTGAAGAAGCATCCTAAGAAACGTCAAAAATAAAAATAAATATCTCTGAGAAAGAAAATCAACAACTTGTTAATAGTATATTATTGAATCGTTTTATTGTTAAAATTGAGTTCCTGTGGGTCAAGACTTTAAATCCTTTTAAAATTCCAACGTAGCTCAGTGGGGCATGACGGGATCTCACGTCATTAAACGTCACGCATTAGATCAAACTACCAGATCACATTCGTATATTCTCTTTTGGTAAATTTTAGTCGAAACCCATCACTTGTTCCAAAGAAATCACTTATTTTCTTCGAAACGCTCCTGGCGACTTTTGATACAATTTTAGAAACGTCCTTACCACTTCACTATACGAGCATATTACATCTCGTATATGAAAATCAAAATCAAATATACTTCTTACACATATCTAGACTTCTGCAGCGTTTCTATCTTTAACATGCCAACCGAACCGCAGCGTTTCTCGAATATAAATATGTCATCATTTTCAGACTGGATTTTCGGACATTAAACAATTACGATAATGCATGGCATCTTTCGAGATTCGACCAAAGTATGCTTTTATGCTCTAATTTTAACTCAACTAATCAACAAAAGGGGTTTTACCAGTAGAATGACAAATATGTTCAGGAAATTCGATGATTATTCTGCTTCGCACAGCTCTTCCAAATTGCTTCAGACGTCAACAGTTAGCCAAGTAAAACATGAATATCACATCATTATTATTGAAATCGTTGGACGGGTGGTCATTTCCAACCCCCAATTGTCCAATCCAAAGGATTGCCAATGTATAAAAACTGATTAATTCACATAGATAATAATTACTATTAATCAAACGTTTCAGAAATCTGGGATCCAACCGCATTATTACAATAGAAAATGAGAGTTTTCCAGTCGGGATCAAATTAATGTAAGTAACATTTCATGAACTTCTTAAAATTCTTGATTCTTGCCTAAAATGGATTTTTACTTTTATTGGAAACTTCATAAAAAGTAACATCTTCATGTGACAAGGTAATCATGCTCTTACGTGTATTTCTAGTGTGCTGAGCAATAACAAGTTCCGATTCCTACATAGCGGACCATTCAGGGATCTAGAGATGTTGTATCAGCTGCAACTAGACAGTAATCAGATAAAAATCATACCTAATACTGCATTCCATGGATGCATTCGATTGAATTCATTGTGAGTATACCCCAATCTATAATAAGGAGTTGGTAGTTAAAGTATTCCTGAGATATGTGTGTAATCATTTATTTTTCTGAGCAGAGTACTTCCGATTTCAGGAATGTACTATATACAAACCTTTTACACAATGTTATATATCATTATTTTTCATCTAAAGTATGCAGTTAGGAGTTTTAGATAATAGATATGACAAGGGATGATATGAGCCCAAAATATTCTAAAATTGAAACAAATTTTGTCAAAACGACACATTTGACTGATTTGTAGAGGATTATCTAGCAACAAAATAGGACGACTTCTCAAAACCCACTTTAAGGATACGCCTCTCGTCAGTAGTATAAGTGTTCGGAACAACGATATAGCATTCATAGAGGATGGAACCTTTGATCACATACCCTATATTAATGTAATGTAAGTATATGCAACCATAAGTCGAAAACAGCTGATCAATTTTTAATGTCGGACTGTACGGCTGTTACGGTACTTGAGTTCGTACAAATTAATTCTCAATTTTATGGATACCCAAGGTATCTTTTTTATCATTTTACAGCTTCATGTTCATCTGCCTCGTGTTGCCATTGTTACCCAGTAAAAGCTAGAAGACTCTAATATTTTCCTTTTTAATAGTTTGTTTTCGCTCCTTAAAAGAGAGTTTCATACAATTTTCTCGAGGTACTTACATTTATCTGACTGCATTCAAGAATTTTTTATGTTCTCTGCTTTAAGGAACTTTGGCAATAATAAGCTTACAGCCCTGCCAATAGGAAGTTTTCATCACAAGCGGATATCATCATTGTATTTTGGGCAGAATAGGATTACCTCAGTCCCACCGAATACATTCCTCAACGTGACTGGCTCCACAAGTGTGTGAGTTTATTTCATTTTTTATCTTTGTTCCAATTGACAGAGACAATCAGAGACAGACACTACATAAAAGGTTCATGGTTGCCATTGGTACTGCAAGTATTGAGAATTATCGAATTACTTCAATTTGAAAAGTTTCGATCTTTTTTAAAAAGTGCTATATTTGCTGTCGACTTGTGCTGAGGGGCGTGCAGGAGTGTAGGCTTGCGTGCTGAAATTTTTACACATGCACTAGCGGACTAATACCAGGTTTTGGGCATGCTGGGTAACTTACATTGTTACCAATTTGCTCTTCATTGTATGTCTTATTATCAGAGTATGCAATAGCATTTTATTGTACATGTTTTCATTGCTTTATCCATGTTTACTGTTTTCTCAATTCATGTTTCTGACTTTTCAATGGTCCGGTGTTGTGTTTAATTGTTTTAGTGGGTTTGGCAACAATATGATATCAGAAATCGAAGAGGACGCGTTCATTGACTGTACATTCGGAAATGTAGCCTTTGGTCAGAATCCATTGAAAGAACTTCACACATCAGCGTTTCAAAAGTTGTCTGCCACACGGTTGCACCTGGAGAATTTAGAAATAAAGCGATTGAACTCAGGAACCTTTGACGATGTGAATGTAAACGATTTGCATTTAGAGAATAATGATATAGAGACTATAGACATAGAAGCGTTCCTCAAACTCACGGTCAACAATCTGTAAGTATCTCAATGTTTCTTATGATTTGGTTCTTTTTTATTATCCTTTATACCAACAACTATGACTAGCTATTTTTAGTTGCCTGAAATAGTATTAATTGCATATTTTACTTAAAACATCAAAGAAGTATTTGATATCGTCTGCATTTCTTTTTAATAAAATAGGTATCTTCATAGTAATAAAATGAAGTTCATAAACGGCAAGATATTTGGAGGCGGATCCAAGATTAATGGACGTCTGGAACTGAACAACAATCTGTTGACATTCATACCTCCAGACGCTTTCGCTGACGCAACAATCAAGACAATCGATTTAAACGACAACAAGATCCTTGTGTACCCGGGCCAGGCAATGTCAACGCAGCGTTTTACTCAAGTGTAAGTTTTTACACTTAAGAACAAAAACAAATGTCTGAAACGCTTTTGCTATGAAAAAACTGGAAAAACTACCAAAAATACTATTTACAAGGAAAAATCAAAACGGCAGTATTGAAAGAAAAAACTCTCCACAGTTCCACGCCATTCAAAAGTATAATCAAAACAAAGCACTAAATCTATGTTATACATTAAGATTATAGTTTTTGATTTTATCACTTATATATGATTATAGGACCATTAGAAGGAATCGTATTGAAGATATTCTACCTGGAGCATTCACAGGCCAAACGCAGTTGCAAGTTTTGGACTTATCCTATAACAACCTGAAAGCTATTTCAGACGGCATTTTTACTCCCCTCGGTTCTCTGATAAATCTGTAAGTTATATAACTAAATCTATTAGTGTAAGTAATAGGTGAATAAAGTAAGTAAATTTAACAGTAATTTTACAATAATCTGTATTGAATCTCCACATATCCTTATCTCAAACTAATTTCAAACTAATAAACAAATTATAAGGTGATGGCGTTATGAGCGAAGCAGTCGTGACAAAGATGGTCGCGTGACATTACTGTGTTCACTGGTTTATTTTTCCCTCGCTTCAGAGACATGAGCTACAACAAGATTCGCTACATTGGAGAGAATGCATTTGAGGGTAACAAAAGACTGGTTAATTTGATGCTCCAAAACAACCGGATCCCTTACTTCCCAGCATTACCCTCCCTTAACACGCTAAACCACATTGACCTATCCGACAACAATATCGAGCCATTGGGGAAGTTGGCCTTTTCTAAGTTAAATCCAAAAAGGTTTACATATATGTAAGACATTTGACTCATATTTGGTTTCATCAAGACAACATATTGTCGATAATACAAATGTTTATTTTACTACAGTTGGTGTATGATGTGTACAAAAATGTGAAATATAAATTTTTGACTTACATGTTTTGAATAACATGTTTTCCAGCAATTCTCAATAAATCATTTAACTGTTTCTTTCTGATGTTTTCTGGATTCTGAATAACGGTATGCGTCTACATTGTACAGTGTGTCACAATACTTGCATGTATCAGAAACAAATATGGAACTATAAATTCAAGTTTATTATCCAGTTAATTGAATTCATTGTAGCACATTAAAAGGCAATAAACTCGGGTGTGACTGCTACACCTACAACACTATGAAAGATGTCGCACAGGCCGTTATGCAGGGGGAGTGTTTTACGCCAACCACTACAAAGGGATACACATTTTCGTTTGCTAAGAGGGACGACAAGATGTATTTTCTAAAAGCAGATAAGAAACATTTTCAATGCTGTAAGAAAATAATGACACATTGCATCTTACCAACTACTAATAAATTTGACTATACTGCATCATAAACATCCTGTAAAACATTACAGTATACCGACGTAATTAAAGAATATGAACTATACGTACAATCTTTAAATATTGCCAATACTCTACATGCCCATATTAGTATAAAGTTGCACCTTGTTGAATTCTTTGTTCCAGCCGCTGATGAGGTGGTTGCAACGGCGGAGAATGAGAAGGAGTTAAAAGTCTCTTGGAAGGCGCCATCTGAACAGTATCCACTTGACACAGACCCAGCTCCCGTCAAGAATGGCCCCTGGTATAATATCTAGTATATATAAAAAAAAATTAAATGTGACACATCAGAATTATAAACTTATACATCTTCAGTTGAAGTAGTTAAAATGAAATAGTTTAAATAGATGCAAATAAATTACCAAGATGTAAACGGTGTATATGTTTCATTGTAATTGCGATTATTTTCCAACTATCTAGGATATATGAAATAACCTGTGTAAGCGATAGTACCTCGAGAGAACTAAAGGCTTCAATGAACGACTCCCAGACAAATGGAACCACGCTGGAGTATACATTTACTGAACAAAGCAATGTTGAGCCTGGCACTAATTACGCATGTGCAGTTCAGTTGACAATAAATGATTACACTAGTTCTAAAAGTGCATTTGCATATGTTACTACAATGGAGGTCAAAGGTAATGATGATCTTTTCAGCAAAATAAAACAACGAATCTAAGAAATTGATACAGATCATAATATAATCCCTGATGATTACAAATTGATTGAAATATTGCGAATATCTTGATTCTTGGACCAATTCTATCCAAATGAAGTTTTGAATACACGACCTAACCTTGCAACTTCATTTCAGCCAACGATAACACAACGGTGAATCCTCTTGATTATGTCTTTGAAGTGACATATTATGACTTCAGTATTCACCACCCCGATTTCACTGGTTCAAGTACTTTCACCGTGTCCCGACCTACCTACGTTGCCAGTCCGTATGGTGCCTGGTTAGCCATCTCTGCAACGCCAGAGAGAGATACATTCACGCAGTGGTTTAGAGATCTTAAAAATCTCAACTATGCAGTCTCCAGCAGAATAATCCTCAGTGATATCAATGCTGTCACAAGCAAAAAACGATACTGGTCAGACTCGTTTTTTCCTGTGGATGGTATCGGATTTCAATCAGAGGAGCAAAGAGATTGTTCCGGTGTTCTGCATAACTTTGGATTCACTAGTGCTATACGCACAAGTTTTACATTCACTGGGGGTGGTAGGCTGACTGTTGGAGGAGGAGATGAGTTATGGGTATACATAAATAGGGTTTTGGTCATACAGCTAATCACACCTCAAAGCAGTGGGATAGTACCTTGTATGCACGTAGATCTTAAGGAAGCCAAGTACCAAGGTAACATAAATATTGCTTAACATGTCTTTTAAATTAAATATTTTTCTTCAATGTTTTCTCTGATTTCTGATATAATCTCGCATAACAGTTATGTGTCTGTAGTTATAACATGCATTGAACTTTAAACACAAAATCTCTAGACAAACCAAAACTAGTTTTATTTCGACGTTCCATTACCAGCCATCATACTCAGTTGTTTGAGATTGTTTATTTTCGGTTGGGACTGTTTAGGCAGTGGGTCATTGGTTCCATCAAAAGGCATCATAATAGGAGGCGAATGTGTTTCCACATCTCCACTAGACAACGAGGAAGTCAGGTTACGTCTCCAGGTTTGAAATATTTTTACAGTTTCTGTGGGGATCAGTTGTGGTATCACTCAGTGGTCCCCACCTGGTTATTAAGACCAAGAACAAAAATACGTAGCATCTTTATAACCAGGTGGGGACCAGTGATCAATATCTTGAGGTAGAGATTACAATTTTTTAACCTATGGAACAAACAACTATGACTTATTTAATGCCTTTTCTCATTTCCGTTCAAGATGGGTGTTACATACCGGTTGGATATATTTCACGTTGAGAGGTACCGCTGTAAGTCTCAATTATTGTTGGAAGTGAGTGGCTTAGACGTAGTGACAGATCCATTAGCACCGCCAGGAAGCGACTACATATTCAACATAAAAGAAGATCTGCATGTCAAAGGGATAATAGGGAACATTGGTTTAACAGATATATTTTCTTATGGTCCAACATATGATGTCACCATTGAGCGAGGTAAATTTGAATTGACTCAAAAACAATACCAAACGAATATGATTTTGGTTCCCAATGTGTAATTTGTATAGATAATAGCTATAGATGGATGCATGGTTAGATAATACTTATATTGACTTTTAAAATCATATACACACTTAATAACTATAAAAGTTATGATTAACTCCTGGCCTTCTTCTATAGGAAACGAAGCAAGACATTTCACAATAAAAGATGATACACTGGCCAATAGGAACGACGCAGTTGCTCCGCCAGTTCAACCACCAGTTTACACGAACATAAGCGGAATCGAGCCATTCGTTGGTAAGCTTAATAGCCGATGAAGTATTCGTTATCATAAGAATATTAGAATGCACACTTTGTAATGTCCTGTAGTTTTAAGTTATGATAATTATTCCGGATTGGTGACAGAGGATTGTTGGACATTGTTTCTTTCTGCTCTAGATTACATATGTCATTACTGCTTGTGCTGTTACATTTTGTCTTAGTATTTTGTATACAAATTTTGTGCTCCCCTCTGTTCGATTTGCAGCATCTGTTCTTACTTTTTTATATATCTAATTCGATCCCTTTGCTGTATTTCAGAATGCAGTACAGTTCCCGTGAAAGTACCAGAGTTGAACATAACGACATCGGAGTTGTTCAACATTAAGACAAGAGATGGACTGCTTACTTTAAAGACAAATGTGGATTATGAAGTCGAACAGTTCTATGTGCTGATTTTGAAAGTAAAAGACAAGGGAAAGCCTCGTCTAAATGGACAAATAGTAATTTTGGTAAGCTAATAAAAAGACAAAGGAGAGCCTTTTAGATAGATAAACAAATAGTATTTTTGAAACCAACTCAAAAACAGGGAAACTTTGTCTTTGACAAGCAGTTGGTATTTATGTGATTATTGTTTAATATAAAATAATTACAATATTTCTAAAATACTGTACGAGTATTTCATTTGTAACTTAACTTCAAAATTTGTAGATCCAAGTAGAAGACGTAAACGACAATTGCCCCATTCTAAATACAACACAATTCTCCGTTGATGCCAGACCTGCGTTACAAAAGGCAACTATTCTAACTTTATCAGCTACTGATGCCGACAGCAATGCCAATGGTGAAATCATTTACAAAGTATCTGATCCACAAGTAAAGTAAGTGATCATGCTTGAAATATAACAGAGATTCAAACATTTATTAATCAACAATTATTACTACGAATGATAACTTACAAATAGAAACGAATCTAAATAAAGAATAATCTGCAATACCTGTAAACGACCGTCCATCATTCAAAGGGCTTCATTTATTTCTCAATTCAATTGGAATGAAGTAAAATACCAGTGGGCCTTGGTAAACGAGTAGATAAAGTTGAATCCATATTTCAGTCCACCCCTTAACTACAGTACCGACGATGACCTCTACAGAGTTATCTATAACAGAACATCCACAATCTTCTACACATTGGTGGCAGTAGATAAAGGGGATCCTACAAGAGGAGCAACTGCCACACTCACAATTGACATCAGTACTACATGTGTCTGGGCAGTCAACTATCACCCAACCTCGTTTCAGATTGTCGTGAACGAAACCAATGGTGATGTTTTCTTTCGCATCCCGGGATACTGGATTTATAACTATGGTAATTATTGCTTTGAAATATTGAAACGATGTATTGATTAAAATAAATAATTTCTTTTAAATGGAAACATTTAAACATAAAGATGTCATTTTATTGTCTAGCTTGCATGGACGAACTTGGTATGCGTATTGCTGTTATACAAGATAAGCAACTGTCGGCCTCTACACAAGGCGAGCAAAGCGGTCCAGAGCGAGCAAGACTAAACATGACTAGGGGTAAGCAGATTTCAGATTTTCAGTATTTTACTTAGACACAGTACTAGAAATAGTTTAAAGATTAATCTATTCATTCATGCATAGATCTAGAGAAGGAAATAGTGTTTATTGCAACACATGTGAGCATACATTTAATCTCCGATTCTTTGACAATGCTATTTAGAATTATGGGGTACAAAGTACCTTACTGGTGGATGGGTGCCGTCTATTCATGACGATCAGCAATGGATACAAGTGGACATGGAGGAATTATATGTAGTAAAACAGGTACAGAAAAAAGCATCGTTGGTAAGGTTACGGATACTGTTTATATCCCTCGGCTATATTGTCAAATAGAAAGGTTTTGACTTATCATTGTCAAAGATCACTATCTTACCTTGAAACTAGGATAATATCAATAAGTGCTACTAAAATATGTAGGAGATATCTCATTTTGAAGTCTATTTCTCAATCATAATAATTTGGAATCCAGTTTTAGGATTAAAAATTAAATTTGAGAAATTAGAACATTTCCAGGATTTGCATGCACTCCTCTCCAAAATATTCCCAACACAAACTGTTCTCCACTCAGAATTGTTGAGTAGACTGAAAGTAAGAGTATTTATTCTTAATTATTTTTCAGATTCTTGTCCAAGGACGTGACGTGGTCCCGCATTGGGTTGAGAAATTTCGAATTTTCTACAATTTGGATCCTATGACGAGTTGGATACTTTACCAAGATGCTGCTAACAGAAATGTAAGTTGTACAAGTATTTCAGAGATATGAACGTATGGTGACGATAATAATGAAAATATGACCTTTATAGACAATAATAAGTTACAGTTTTGAATCTAAATATGCTCCAAACCACATAATATGATTTAAAACGGAAAACGTGTAAGACCATCTATTGTAGATTTTTGACGGGAATTCCGACAACTTAAACACAGTGACAGTCGACCTTGACCCCTCGTTAATGTTTATATCAATGAGGCTCAACCCTACTCAATGGAAGGACAAGATAGCCCTTCGTTTCGAACTGATTGGGTGTATGGAAAGAAGAAAGTTATTTCGTAAGTTGGGGTGATTAGAAAAAAGTATGTAGTTTAAAAAATTATAAACATCCAAGCACTTATAAAGGACAAATAGCCTTTTTTACTAAAATTATTGATAACAGAACAAAATGATAAGCTTAATGATGACATGCATTATCTCCAATTTTTCTGTGAATTATATAAGACGAAGTTTCGTGTGAGAGATGTTTAACATCGTGGTCATGTCCGGGAGATGGCACTATGGAGACGTGTGCACGCTGTGAGGGAGACGCAGACTGTAACAAATCCCCCACAGAGCACTCTTTCGGTGCAGCTGAGACTTGTTCTCCTTGTCCACTAGGATGGGTAAGTGAATTAAGTAGTGTGTTTGCGTCCGATAGAGAGGAGTGAGTCCAAGTGATATGTTATACTAATTTTAGCATTCATATAAACCCTAGCCCATCATATCTTCGCCCCATTCAACCATGTATCAAAACCTTATTGATGTTTTTAAAGATTTGAAACACACACCATACCTAAATAAAATAACGGGTGTCTAGAAAGTCATAATATAGATTCATTTATCTTTAAATCCTTAGATCTGCCATGATGGGTATGCGTCTCCATGTGGGAATTTTACGTACAGTGACTGTAACTCCACCTATTGTCCACAATCTTGCATACCTTGCCCCGAGGGTCATGCGTGTAACGCTGGACAGAAGTACGAGTGTCCCCCAGGGACATTTTGCTCTGGAGATGCTGGTAATATCTTACATCTCTACTATCTTCATTGTTGATGTTCGCGGAGAATGATATTAGCTTTTATACTTATGTTCGGAGTCTGGTGAACTTCGGGGTAACTACATGTACATGTAGGTGTTGGGCCTCTGTTGAAGGGTGCTGCCCGTCTAATACTCCGCTCACTATAAAAGCTAATATCATTCTCTGCGAACATCAAATTTATAGGCTTTTCGATTATAAAGATTTGGCAAGAACTCCTGTCAGTAATCATTTAAATGACATATGCCTTACGGCTCTATTATCTTTATTTATTAATGTCAGCATGGCTTCTCGATTTTAAAATTTTACAAGAACTACAGTAATGCCAATAATCTTTCACATGATACAGCATTTGATTCCAATTGGAACTTGTTTTTAGAATATTGCTTCATGTGCAGTTCCGGAACATACCAGCCAGAAGCGGGAAAGACGTCATGTATACCATGTCCTAAAGGGTTTTCCAGCAGCCAAGGAAAAGACCATTGTAGCCCGTGTAGTGTTGGAACATATTCAAAAGGTGAACGATAAATAGCAATAAATTCTGAGAATTCCTTTGACTCTAAATTCACTGCAAAATCCGAAGACCTAGTTTTCCTCTTTGTACATTGAGGGCAAAACATTTACTTCAAACATTGCTTTTCTGATTTTTAAATAATAATCTTAAACGATCTCTTCAGGTGATGGCAGTGATTGTATGATGTGCCCTGACGCGAGCACGTGCCCATGTGAGACTGTCCCTGGTCCATGTTTCACACAGTCAAGCTGTCTAAACATAGAGGGCGGGGTATATGTTTGTGATGATTGCCCCGTTGGTTATGAGGGCGATGGGAAAACATGCTCAGACATTGATGAAGTAAGTGACAATGATAAAATTACACGTTTACATATTCATTGTTTTATGTACCATGGCTTGGCTTGTCTGAATTCGTTATCTTTCTTTCTCCAACTTCAGTGTAAATTTTTCCAAAATAAAATTATTTTACCTAAGTGAATTATTTTAGTGCACAATTCACAAGCCGTGCTATGATGGTCGCTGCAGAAATATGGAACCTGGCTACCAATGTTTGGAATGTCCACCAGGTTACACGGGAACATATGAAGATGCGCACACTTGGAACATTTCTAGGGTATTGTATTAGTAACTTGACATATTGGTTTTTAAGGACTGTATCCAAGATACCTATTTTAGGAAATGGTGACTTCCCAGAATGTATAGCTATAGATTTTATCTTGGAATTATAATTTCAAAATTGAATCGTGAGCACATACATTCTGAAACTGATAACTAAATCCGGCAGCATGATATAAAAACGACCGACCGAATATTAGGGTATATTGACAGAATACTAGATATAGTATCACTTATGGAATGATCATTGTTCAATGTATGTATTTCAGCGCGTGTTTGTTTATGGCAACAAAGAGCTGGCACCTGTACAGAATCAAACATGTGTTGATGTGAACGAATGCTTGACAGACAATGGGAGATGTGATCCTAATGCAGAATGCATTAACACAATCGTATGTCAAAATTTGCTATTTCAAAACATTATTTTGCAATGTTTGGGATAATTTTCCAAATTATTAGATCATGCTGGTATTTATGTCTCGGAGTGTAGCCATTGGATGCATTTTTGGTGCGATCAATGATTTTTATCATATCTTTCTTCAGGGGAGCTTCATATGCGGCCATTGTAATAAAGGATTCGTTGGAAGCTCAAAGTATGGATGTTTCCCTGATGATTTCTGCAAGTCTGGGAACAATGATTGTCACCAAGATGCTATATGTAGATTTGTAGCCCCTGGACAGTTCAGTTGTCAGGTATGGTCACCTTTGCTCTCGTACTTTGTTTGATCATAAACACAGAGAGAGACCAAGGTTTTCGGTTGGGTTTTGGATGATTTGCACTTGTTATTTCTCCTTCATGATTTTAAAGGGCTTATCTACAAATGCCCTTTGAGGAGTTTGTTCTGAAGAATTATTCTTATTAAGATGTGTTGATATTAGACTTAATGGTTTTCAATAGAACGTATGTCTTGTTGCATTTTTAGTGTGAAGTTGGTCACGCCGGGAGTGGCACTCGTTGTGGTCATGACCCGGATGTAGATGGACATCCTGAAGATTCGATTGTTTGCGACACGTGGGGCTGTCGTAGGGTTTGTACAATATTCTTACTGCTTTGTTCTTGTGATAACACAAATATCTTGAAATAATGCATTTGTAGTCTGTTTTTTCCTGTATTTAGGATAACTGCCCAGATGTTCCTAACAGTGGCCAAGAAGACAACGATGGTGATTCATTGGGCAATTTCTGTGATGATGATGACGACAATGATGGTTTGCCCGATGATCTGGTATGATTCAAAATGATAATCAAAAAGCACTGTTGGAATAAAATGTTGACCTCTATAATCTGTACTATTTACTAAGTTATGCTATTTGTTTTAGGACAACTGTCAATTTGTGAAAAACCGAGACCAGCGAGATGGAGACGGGGATGGTGTTGGGGATGCCTGTGACAATTGCCCCAACGTGCCTAATTCAAATCAATTGGATAGCAACGGGGATGGTGTGGGGGATGCGTGTAATGACGACAATGATGGCGACGGTAAGTAGTCATATTTGTAAGGTATGATCCCATGAAAATATGATTTAACAAGGCAAAAAGGCACCATTAGAAAGCACAGGCGTATCAGATATCAGTAAACCATCAGCTTTATATTTTACATAAATATTCATTCAATATTCAATTATCATGGGTATTGAGGAACAGCTTAACATCATATACTGTATTATTACCATTGCACTATTGAATTGAATTTAGGTGTCAAAAACAAAGTCGACAATTGTCCTAAAGTTGCAAATACTGACCAGAAAAATGTATTGGACTCCGACAATGTTGGGGACGTTTGTGATAACTGTCCACATGTTAACAACAATGACCAGCGTGACAGCAATGAGAATGGTTTTGGTGATGCATGTGACCCCGTTAATGGAAACAATAACGATAGGTATAATCTAGAGTTCTTTGTTAAAATATGAATTACAGTTATCCTTTGAATATGGATGATATGAGAGAATGTTTCAACAATAAAAATACAGTAAATTAAGGACATTAACAGTTCTTAATTTAACACTAATTAATCTTTTATACTACTAAATCTGCAACTGTTATTGTTGTACTAGGGATGGTGACGGCGTAATAAACACGATGGATAATTGTCCTGACTTTCAAAATGGAGAGCAAAAAGATACTGATTTGGACGGCTATGGTAATACTATATCTAGTATCATTTTTCTTTCTTGGATTTCTAATCCACACCTCGACCAAGTCCTAAATTAAAAATAGCATGGTAAATCTGTAAATGTAAGGTGAATGTCTTGTATGGATATGGGGGTTACATTTCTTTAGATTCTTTTCCTGTCGTTTTGTAATACTCTCTTTCTGTTTTGATACTTATGTTGACATATTCAGGTGATGGATGCGACGATGATATAGACGGAGACCAAGTTCCCAACGAGATTGACAACTGCCAGTATGTTCCCAACACAGATCAAGAGGACACAAATGGTAAGGAATCTGAATTGTTCTGTCATATATCCCGCTGCCAAATCATACAGATTGTTGCCTCCGGTTTGACAGATGTATCATTTTATTGTCGTTCTGAAGGAGTAAACAAGAAGGGGTCCGCGCATTATACCGAAACCCATTATACCGACCCGCATTGTACCGACGCGCATTGTACCGAAAGGCGTTATACCGAATGCCATAATCATTGTTCCACAACTAGTTACTTTGACGGAACGTCAATGTAACAAAATGGATGAACTTCCTGATTACGAATTTTTTGCTTTCTCGATTCAAACCTACTAATAAGTCTAGAAAATATAGCCTAGTTTTGATAAGTTTCTTCGATTAAGAATTTGTTTTGTAAATAAAGCTGTAATTCATATACTTAGCCCCTCGCTTTTGTTACATTGATGAAAGCCTGTTATATTACCAATGTATGTTACTTTGTCAATGGTGATTTAGCCCGACCATTTTTAGAAAAATTGGAAATCTCTAGAATTTGAATAAAGGTAAATAACAGTGCAAAAACTAAGTTGTTTTGACAGAAAATTACACACAGAATTCAAATAGAAGAAAATGTTAGTCTTTAGTGGTTAAAAATGCAGATCTCCTAAAATCAAAACGAGACCTTAACGAGATTTCAAAGCTATATGGAAAAGCTGTACTTGTGTCCGTGCTTCATTTTGAGTAGCGAGTCTAAATTCTTTTCATATTTTGTGTTTTTGAACATGCGGGAATATCTTGAACACTTTGAAACTGAAGTACAGTTCCTTAATAGGTCGTTCAGTTTTCTTGTTTTTGTTCTACACAACACTTGTGTTTAATAGCCACGCGTAATTATTAATAAGCGTAATCAGATTATTTCAAGCGTCGAAATAGCTTATTTTCCTTGACGTATCTACACAAACCTATTCACTTACCGTTATAGTGAACGATCTAGATGCGTCAATTATAATTGTTTTCACTCATCGGCTTTAGTGGCCCGCGATACCTTTTATTTCATTCATTTGAGACGCAATTGATACATTGGCAACAAATCAAATGTTCTAAATGATTCTTCTTCATTTTGGAATGTTTCTCCTACCCGATATTCGAAGATGTGTCTTAAATATTATACTTTATATTGATCACGATTCTTGTACTTTCTGTCCGTTACGACTCCCGTTCACATTTGCAAGAGTTGTTGATTGCATTGCCTTGATCGTTGGTCGAACTTCGATTCCAACTAAATCAGATTAATCAATTAAGAAATGTAATATCATGTTTATCCAAGCAAAAATAACTGTAACAACTACATTATTTTTTAGCAGTTTTGACACCTAAGCAGGGTAGCCTAGTGGTGTAGACTGAGGCTACTTTGCGGTTGAACGTCGTGGGATACGGAGGTCCCGCGTTCGAGCCCCAGGTACGGAGTTGTTGATCATTGTCACTACGGACACCCGGTCCGAAGGTCCAACCGTTTACCGGCCCTTGGCATGGGTTGGTTCTCTGGCCGCTCTTGCCGGAGACAGATTGTGAGACTGTGGTTGGTTCCTCCACTAACGTGCTTTAGTAAACTCCGGGAGTCATATAGTATGGTAGCGGGCCCCCACCAAGGGCAGTAGTGGAACGACGCGAATCGGTCCCAGTATGGTTGCCTTGCAACTGAAGAGACTCGAGGAAATCATGCCATTCGCAGTGACCCAGAAAAGACTTTTGCTTCTTAATTTGACGTGTTAATTCATTTATTTACATACTTCATTCATATTACTTTCCAGGCAGTTATGATTTTTATTGGTCAAATGAATGAGACATATAGATACTATTAAATACATCTAGATACTAAGATAGTATCAAAACCGTAATTCGATTTGTCGGACATATATAAAATAACACTTGAAAACACAGCACACATAGCTGCAATGTAGCATTTGGCACAGTCGGTTCCCACGCTCTATCATTTTGTGTGGTCATCATCAGATAAGGAGGTACGGTGGATTGGCCCATGGGCTTTCAACAGAGTCAAGAAATTGGCATGGATACTTTGAGAAATGAGGTAGCAACAAAAGGAAACACTGGAAATAATCCAGAAATGTCCACACCATTGTTTTCCTTAGTTATGGCAAGGCCCCGGAGGAAAAACAGCATTCGTGGGTAGCTTAATTTTTGTACCAATTAGAGCCATGACTTAAACTCAACCAAGAACGATGGAGCAGAGTCACTATGGGTCCCAATTGAGAATCAATTCAAATCAAAATCAAATTGAGAATCAGATGTCCTGCTAAGTCTAGTATTGATTTGCCCCTAAATAGATATTAAAGGGGCACTGAATATTGGACTTAGTTAATGAGCACCATTTTAAACTGCCAATTAAAACATGTATGATGCCAATTTAGAAGTATTGTATGAAAAGAAATGTTTGTGAAATGGTTAGAAAATGAAATAACATCAGAATTAATGGGATCACTGAAGCACACATTGATAAAAAACACGCTTGGATTTGGAAAGATTTAAAGTAAAACAAATGAATGCGTGTCATCTCCATGACAACATATCTTGCTCTCTCTCCATGACAACAATTTTTGGCCCCATCAGCACAAGATCGAAAATACTGTAATTATCAAGTTCAATAAGAAATGTGAAACTTTATATTAAATAGCACAATTATTTATTTTTAGCGATGAAACAATACAGTATAAATAAATGTTTACTTCATTGAATACAGAATTTACCACGCGGTTATATACAGGGTGTCAAATAAGTCCCGTCCCCCCTCTACAGCCAAAACCAAGATATTTGGTACCAAGTGTGATATATCATTGGAAAGGTCTTCCAAAGTTACGTTGATTGGCATATATCTGACACATGTCAATCAATCTCACAATTTTTTACATTGTATCAATTGAGGTGACCATTTGCCTAGAAACATGGCAATTTGGCGTATTTGGCAGGATTTTAAGAATCAGGTATGAGAAAGGTCAAGAGACCAAAAGATGACTTAATATGTTTATGGCGATGAATTTAACCAATTTCTGGATAGGGTTAGATGTGTAGAAAATAAAGGTGCAAGGAAAGTAGTGAAAACCTTTTTGTAACAAGTGGAATGCGAAAAAGATTAACTTTTTGACGTATTTCTGAGGTCATATCCTTGTCATTTTGACGCAAAAAAGCTACTTAAAGGAGGGCACGTTAACTATAAAAGACATCATAAAACTATGGGTAAATTTCATCCAAAATACTTGAGAGTTGGTGAGTTAACATAACTTTGGACGATCTTTCCAATGGTATATCACACTAGGTACCGTCTGTTAAGGTTTTAGCTGTAGCAGGGGGGACGGGACTTATTTGACACCTTATTTTATGAAGTACAGGGTTTACCATAATCAAACATAAATAGCAGAATTATGACTTTATCCTCTATGAAATACAGAAAATGGTGGTTAACTGGAATTCAGTTTGTTGAGACGACCCCTCAATCCGAAACGCCTACCATCAGTTGAAAAATTTCTGGCCGCAACTGAGATGTAAAGATGTTCAAAGATTTTAAATTAAGCTTTATCTGAAAATATTGCGCGATAAACTTTTAATTGAATATGAATATATAAACAACAGATTGACATCCAGTCTCATATTAAAAAGTTTAAAGTCAAAACATTGTGGAAGTAAATAAAAATGAATTTTTAAATTTCAAGACTTGTCTGTTTAATGAAAAAATCATATATAATTTGAACCAATGTGTATGATAAAGTAATATATAAACTATCTATTTTATATGCTGGTACAGTAGAATTTCTCTTGGCTTTTCAACGTAGCACCATATTTGACTTTTCAGGCTCAACTTTTATTATTCTATGCCTATATAATGTTACTGTGCACTGTCATACATGTACATAATCATGTGTCTACATGACGTTTTGAAAGAGTATAGAGCTAGATTCAAAGCACCGTTCTTGCGAGTTTCAAAGGAAAATATTGAAAATGCATGATTGAGGACTGCAACTTTTTATGTCTACACTGACAAAAACTTGAAATTCCCGCTGTAAAGAGATAGTCCCACGCGGAAGCGCACGTCATAAAACTGATGGGTTAAGGCAATGTGCCGTCCCACTGGCACGGATTTCGGTACAACGCGCATCGGTAGGCCTTTTCGGCACAATGCGCGTCGGTATAATTGGTTTCGGTATAATGCGCGTCGGTATAATGGGTTTCGGTATAATACGCGTCGAATCGACGCCGTCGATATAATGAGGTGATCCCCACAAGAAAACAGATACAAATGGTTAGTTAATTTATCAATACATTTCCAGGTAATAACATAGGAGATATTTGCGAAGAGGATACAGATGGTGATGGTGTTAAAAACAGATGGGACGTTTGCCCTCATAACAAATTCATAACCAAGTCCAGTCTGAGTCCTCATTTTGTTGTGAATCTAAATCCAACAGTGACAAAGGGAAATGATCCTGTCTGGGAGGTGACTCACGGTGGTGCAGAAGTAAGACAGATGAATAGTGAAGTGAAACAAGTTCCTTACTTGTTTATTGGTAGGTACATAACAACCCGTCACTTTGCTGTGTTTGTTACATTTGGAACTGCTGAAATCCCTAACCTCACTCCTATAAAAGGTGGCGGATTCGGGGATGTTTTATAAGAAACAATACTATACTAAGTATAATGGTATTCGATTTTTGCCTCACTTATATAAACTGTTACCAATGTACATGCAGTTCATATACTAAAATCAAAGCTTTGAGGCCCATTACAAGGAAATGATAGCGATAGGCCCCAGATCTGCTGCTTGATGATATATATTCACATTCATAGCATAATCAACAATCATCAAAGGGTTTATGTTTTCAGTCCTTTGGCCTTTAAATCATCGGTTGAGGGTACAGTGCACACTTAATATACGATTCCCAAACATTACGGTCCAAAAATACCAAAGTAAACAAAGACTGAACTCATTAAGACTTTATTGAAAATCTGTAACACATGAAATCTGCAACACAACTTATCTGTAACACCTGGGAAACCTATAACAATTATCAAGGGACAACACATACAACGATGATAATGAATATAATAGCCACTTGTTTTACCATAAGGTGGTCAATCGTATGGTGAAATGGAATACAGTGGGACTCTGTTCGTCAATTCTGATGAAAGTGGGGATTATATTGGTTTTGTATTTGGTTACCAAAGCAACAGAAAGTTTTATCTGGTCCTATGGAGACGAGAAAATCGAAATTTTGAACAATACAATGCAGGCGTCAGAGGAATTCAAATCAAGGTAAGACTATATGAAAAACAAACTTGTCACTATACACATGCAAGAGCTTGACAATACTGGAGAATCCTTTACAAACCACCAGTATCGTCACCCCAATCCTAAATCCCGATAAATAACTGTGATTTTGTGTTCAAAGTAGTAAGGGGATATAAAAGACAAATTGGCCAGACCCCAAAATCCCGTTACCGATAACTTTAGACTTGATGATGGATATCTAGATACACAATCCACTCCGGAAGTCTCAATTTGGATATGTAATTTAAAACGTGTTACTGGTTACATGTACTTGTCTTATCTAGCTTTATATTATAAAAATGTTACACAAGTTATATGTATGTGAAACAATTGTTTCGATTTCCAAAATTTTTCTTGAAGGACTTTTTCCGAAAAATCGTGCACGTAGATTTATTTTAACTAAATTAGAGGTCACACATATATTTTACACATATATTTTTCAACGCTCTGTTTCCAGCGGATCGATTCATCTGTAGGTCCGGGAACAGGACTTTCAAATGCCATTTGGCACAGCGATTCAACATCGGGACAAAGTGAGTTACTGTGGCATCTACCAGATATGACCAGCTGGGAATACAGGACAGCATATAGATGGCGCATCACGCATAGACCTAGCAATGGCCTGATACGGTATAATGAGATTACGCTCGTCAATTTGCCATATCTTTTCTTTGATTCATCTTTCGAGCGACACATGCTCTGCATATTCTAAAAATCGAATTGATAGTAATGCTATAGTTGGTTTCTTTTGAAAATTTAAAGCCCATTTTTGATAATTGGCCCAAAAATAAGATAATAAAAAGGCACAAAAGTAATGCCCAAAAAGGCTAACTAATTGAGGCCCTACAAAACTTTGGGCCCGAAATCTTTTCTGGGCCCACCCATGGAGGAGGGGGGGGGGCATGCCCGCCCTGGATCCGCCTGCGAATATTATCCTTAATGGGCGTTTTAGGAGCTGTGAGTAGTTGTTTACCATTTTGAATCTCCGAGGATATCATTATATCAATTATTCGTTGTTTCTTGTTTTTTAAAACCATGTTTAATGATGTTTTTCTATGATAATGTTTTGTAGTCTCCAGGTATATGACAAGAACAGTTCAATAGTAGATTCTGGCAACCTTTATGACGCCCAGTTAGGAGGTGGTAGGGTTGGAATATTTATGTTCAACCAAATGAGAACATCTTGGTCTGACCTAGTTGTCAGATGTTTAGTAAGAAATGATACTGCTTTGCGATTGGATGGTGTGAGTGACTTTGTTGTGCTGGGAAACGTTACTCGACTCGGAATGGAGAAAAGGTATGGACATTTTCTTTAATTGATGAGAAATTACATGACCTTTCAAATTAATTGAATTTATATAATCATGCATATTTACAATTGTGTCATTTTGATTTTTTGTATAATTTTGAAAGTAAAATTATTATATATCCCAGTTTCACGTGGGAAGCCTGGATAAAACAAAATGGACAGGTCGGGAGACATCCTATATTATGTACAGTGGACACCACCCTATGTGTCTTCGTTGAGGACGGGTACATTCGGGCAAAGGTCGGAGCGATTACGGTGAGAAGTCAGCCGCAAATAGTTGTTGGACAGTGGACGCATTTTACAATGAGATATGATGCTCAGCGTAAGTGTGTTATGATTTACTAAGTTATATTTAATAACGCATTCTCTCTATGTATGTATCCCAACAAACATAGCATTTCAGGAATACTATGAATTGCAAGAATGACTAAAAATATGCATAAAGGAGGGAGACTTTTGGCATCGTTAGCTCCAACCACATCATATTATTGATTTGGAAGAAGGGTGTTTGATTTGGGTTCGTTGTAAGTTAAGGTCAGGGCGCACTTTGGATTTTTTTGCAATTTTGAAAAGTAAACCGCTCAATATTCTAGTTATTCAAACATTCTGAAGAATTACCAACCCTAAATTAATAGTCTAGGTACACTAATTCATATTTTGTGCAAGAATGTAAGATGTATATAATGTGTGGAATGAGTTATGTTTATCTGGAAATAGCACATGGTCATGAAATTTCATCAAAGTGCACCCTGACCTTAAATCATATAGTTTGGGATATTATGGGTTTGCTTTCTGACGAGTTGTTGTGCATGTTTCTTATTTCTTGCTGTGTTTTCAAATGATCTTTAAATTCCTAGTTTGACACCTGTGGCTTACATAAGTCAACTGCGGGTTGCTAATGATATGTAACTTGTTGAAATTTTATGACATCGACATACTTTCAGTCTTTGAATTGACATTATTCATGAACGATGATGGAGGGGGAAAGCTGCCCAATGTCCATCCGATTGCATGGGTAAGATCTGAGATTACAAGTGATATTGCACGGTTTTTAGGCATTTAATTACCCATTGAATCGTTCATTTCTACTATCCATATCTACATTGTAATCATACGTAAACGTGGCCCTCAATAACATGCAAAATTAACAATCGTAAAAATACAAATACTTAAATTATATAACATTTGATATTTAATTTTTTCATTTGTATTCATATAATTTTAATCAATAACTGGTGCAGATTGAGGATTTGCAATAATAATTCATGAAAAGTATGTATAAGATGATGACATTTTCTATTCATTTTATGTTTCGTCTTTTCCCCATAGAATCGGAATGGAACATTCTATGACTACAACCAGACTACTCTGCTCTTAGGACGTGATGCGACTGATTACTTTGCAGGCGATATAGACGAGGTACATGTATGGTTTCAGTCAATATTTAACAAACAGAGCCGAATAAGGCGAGATAATTTCTCAGATGCTCGAAAGATGGGCATACATGTACTTTTAGTTTGGTTCTAAATGTTAAGAGCCAAACTTTGCAATAAGAGTTTGCGGCTCCTTCTTGCGACTTCCAGATCCTCCCCTACTTGGCGATCTTCAACTGCCAATTGCAAGATCAATAATTCATTAATGGAACTGGTTTCAGGTGCGAATGTATGGAATTGTATTAACCGACAAAAAGGTGAAAGAGAACATGGCGGATCCTGGTCTGAACTGGCCTAAGCACCAACGCTATGTTAATTGCCATTATGATATGACTGAAAATCATCTCAATTCAATTGAATTACTTAACAAAGGGGTAATACCTGTAGCCGGAGTTATCAACGGAAGTCCAGAATTTGTTGAGGTAATCTTTACAGAATACATACCAAAATATGTTGATCTGGTTCAATTAAACTGTACTGAACTTTATTGTCAATGATCTAAGGTATATTACATTTTGAAGATTTTAACTAAAGCTGCCCCCAAAATGTATTGTATCAATCACACTAGTTACGACATTATACACTCTCCTCCATACGTTTGGCAACCTTAGCTCCCCCATTGAACTACGTGTTAAACCTCTTTACCTTTGAATTTTAATTTACTAACCTACGATGAAAATACTTATACTATTGATGGAAACGTAATTTGACTTTATTTCCAATACCTCCTTTTCACAATTTTACATGCTATTCATTCTTATTGCAGAGCGACTTCCATTCAAAAAGGTACAGCTATAACTTCCCAAACAATTTCTGAAGTTGAAAGGCATACACAGTATCAGCTATAAGAAGACAATCATGCTGACATTTGTACAAAATAAAAAATACTGTATATAAATATGTGACTAACTTGAACATTTCACAATTCTATGTTCCACACATACTAGTACTAGGCTTATATAAACATGTATATATTATCAATTTTTGTACATTTTCACTTTCACTTTGTACATTGTGTCAAAATATTGTGGCTATACGAGGGGTGATCAATAAGTAATGGACGCTTTTTTACACAGATACTTTTTATAGACCAATCCCTTTGATTTTCCTACCAGTGATACATCATTCAATTATCTATCAATTCTGAAGATTTGAAGACAAAACATATAATAAATGTTGATATATCCTTATTTCCGTGAAGGAGGTGCAGGTACTCTGGGACCGACATTTACGTCACATATTTAGCCAGTTTAGTTTTTAGCCAGTTTGGCAAATTTCAGTTAGATTTGAACATTTTATATGCAACAAGTGTTGTGTTGTTTGAAATTTTTTGCTGACTGGTAACACATAAACAGAAAGTATTGTATTGTATGGAAGGGGTTTGCAGGTCAATTTGAGAAGGCATTGTGGAAGAAAGGAGTGGTGAGAGAAGGGAACACCCTACTCCATATGGACAATGCACCTGCCCACAGATCTCATTATCCCTGGACCTCAAAATTGAGCCCTTGGCCAATGCACCATATTGTCCAGATCTGCTCATACGTGACTTATTTATTTCTATATTACTTATTTCTATAGAGAAAGGACGCAGGTTTATTGACATTGATGAAATAAAACAACCCGTACAACTGCATCTTGCTACCATGTAAGAGAATGGATTCAGCCTTGTCTCACAATCTTGAGTTAAGAGGATGAGGAATTGTGTACATGTAGCACTTGATGGAACCTATGTAGAGGGCCCTGTGGAATGAATGTGGCATGAATCAAAATCAACTATGGCATAACAAAATGGGATAACTCATGACCATAATGGTTTGTTTTGTTCAGCCTGCATTCAACTGCATTGCATGTTAAACAAGCTAAAATAGCTTCAGAATGTTTGCCGTCATGTCGGTCCCGGGGTACCTACACATCCTTCACAGAAATAAGTATATATCAAAATATATTACATGTTTTGTTTTCAAATCTTAAGAGTTGATAGATAATTGAAAGATGTATCACTGGTAAAAAAATCGAAGGGATCGGTCTATAAAAAGCATCTGTGTAAAAAAGCGTCCATTACTTATTGATCACCCCTCGTAGAGAGAACTAAATACATTATTTTTAAAATAGTTTTGTATTTCTCGTAGATGTTATGCTAGCCTTTAACCACGACATTTGGTCTTGGTTTAAAGAAGCACTTGTATATTTTACAAAAAAGCAGTGAGCCTTGAGCTTAAACCCTAAAACCACACAGCGCCTTTCTTATAATACAGTAAAAGGGTGAATATGTAAAACATATAACCGGGGGTACTATCTGAGGATATCTACATATAGAACGGATTAATATTGAATAAAAATCCCAAATAAATCATTTTGTTTCAAGATAGAAATGTCACCTTTTATGATGATAACGTTGCCAAAAACTATATAAAAGCGTAGGCATTCGTCAAGTACAAGCGATTTTGATACGGTGATAAGAAACAGTGAATCAATTAGAACACAGATCAATGACATTGGTTTTAAACACTTTTTCGCCGAAAATCCCTAGATTTGGGTTGAAAAATCCTAAAACTAGGTACTGTTTTTGGAAAAATCGCCGGGAGTGGGTATTGTTTTTTAAAAATTACCTTGAAGTGGGTCTATTTTTGAATGAAAAACCCTAGATGTGGGTCCATTTTTAAAGAAAAAATCGCAGTCGCAGTGGCACCCCCTGTACAAAAATTTGACCAGTACCCCCCCCCCCCCGGACCAATGGGCAGGTTAGCAATTTATTGGTTACGTTCACGTGGTAGGCTAACCTACACGTTTTATGAGAACGTTTATGTGAACGCAGTCCTGTAGGGGTATAGTTCTCCCCTCCCATGTAGTATTTGCATACCCAATTGGGTATAAAATGGTTATTATTTCCTAATTAAACAGTCTTCACCACAAACCACACAATATAATATCACATATATTATAGGATTAAATTCGAGCCAGCAGCTACGCCAGAACCAATTCTAAATTGTGACTATCTGTCAACTTGCAATATAAAAAACTTGAATAAGGACCATACATGTATATAGTGCCTTTTAGCACTATGCAAAATCTGTGAATAACATGCCTCACTATCTAATACAGTAATCACGCACTGTCATTAATACATAACAATAATCTAAATCACTGTCTACAGACTTGCACTGTAACCATAACATTGCATTTTGGCAAAACACGTAACTCAGAAAGTTAATGAAATTTCCTTCCTTAATAGACTGTCGTAATATGCGACATTGTTGGTCACAAAAGACAAAAATTCCGTGATTATCACAAGAATACACGACCGGACTACAAAAATCATACGATCTTCTAAAACTATTGTGATGAACAATATAATATCTGGAAAGCACCATGCATGCTAATCTTAATACAAACTTATCTCGTATTGCAACAAAAGCAAAAGTACAATTCTTCGAAACGTTGTAAATCTAAATACTATCTGTTTATTATAAAATGCAATTAGTTGACAAGCACTTCTCTTAATGTGTTTGTCACACTGATATAACACAACTACTGTAAATGTTGTTAAGGAACACAACTATCATCTTAAAATACCAAAATTGATGCCCTTCTGGAAATAGATATTACATATCTAAAACTATGAAGGACTTTCGGATATAATCAATATCTTTAAAAGCAAAACTTTGTGCCTTCCTTGAAACAATATGACAGAAACGCACTTAAATACATATTTATTCACTTAGATTCAATGCGCTGTCAGTAAAAAGCCATGCCTTGAGTTTCAGATTTATATGCACATTACATAATTGCTTCTTAGAAACCTAATATCTAAATGTTTTAATTAACTTAATTAACATCCTATGCTATGCAATGCTTTGTGATAATTGCAGAAAAATATACTTCCCAAAATAGTAATTATTGGGAGCAGGTTACATCAACGTCAAAACACGTATACTTCATTCAAAAACGTTGATTTGGTCAATAGCACTAAAGAAAGTGTTCATTGACTTCAATATGAAAAACTTTAGTTTATCGACCTGACACCGTTAAAACCCAGATCAAAATCTTTGTGACTTTCGAAAGGGAAAAAGGTATGCCTCCTCGAACAATAAAACTAAATTTTCGAATCGGTTGTATGACAACTTACAACATTAACTAAAACTGTGTATAAACGCTTCGGTTGCTACTCGCAGAATAACACGATCCCATCGTGCATCCACTCACACAACCTACTCATGATCACATCATGTTATCCAATCAGTTGAAATTGCGTTCGATTTCACTAACGCTAAGACGTTATATCAACCGGAAATAAAATAATTCAACTCTAATTTCAAACGTGTTGAATTTTAATGATTGTAAGTATGCCTAAAGCCAATTAAGATCGGAATGGTAATCCATGGGAATTATGGTAAATATAACACGGTTACATTCAAGTTTTCTTAGAAAAACGTGTTGACGCAGCTGCCTCCTTCCAATGGTAAATTGTCATATTTTTGTTCATCCAGTTGGAAGTAGAAATTATTTTCAATTACATCTGTTCACATAATTTTCAACTCTGAATTAACGCAGTTAAAGGACCAGGAACGTAAATTGGTACGATCCGTAATCCGATTCGAACGAATCTCGTTATGGTAAATGATGCGTTGTGGGATTAATCTTGGAATTTATACTGATATTGGTGAATTCGTACAATCTTTTGGATAAATTTTATCCTCATCTTAATCCACTTACAATTGGTGGATTGATTTTTGGATAAAATTTATCCGAATTCCAATGTAATTTGGTCATTTGGACCAATCCCAGCGAAAAATGATATAGTATACGGCCTGAATACTTGCGGGATATCATAGAAATATGGAACGTATCCTTAAGAATCCATGATAAATATCACGATTTCGGAGATTCACGGATATTATTGAGAGACGGAACACTGAATATCAAGAAATATCCGTAGTTCTGGAAATTACTGATATGTCTCGTTTTTTTCACGTGGTATACTTATGGGTACATTTGTACAACTAATATATGATTCAGATACTCACAAATAAGGCTGAATATTTAACCATTTTTGGATATTTAGGGATACTTTCGGGATATTCATGAAACGGTCGGGATTTTTACACATACAGCAAGAATATTTTTGTTCAACTCATAGAGAGCGTATTACACATATAGTTCTCTAAATATCTATGTGATATCCAGCTAGAGAATACATTGATATATTTAGAGCATATATCACTGGCATGTAGCGATTTAAGCGATACTGGATACTTTACTGAATTGTGTCGAAGTTAGACGTGTGGTGCGGAAGTTAATATGCAGATGACTATCATTTCAATGTTATATTGTTTGTAGGCAAATTGAGATTAGGCCATTGGAGTATTTGTTTCACGCATACATAAAGCCTAACGCATTCAAGGGTCACATTTATCATTAAACCAATAACTCAAACATATGACCTTGTACACCGACCACCTCTTGAAATCAATGCAGGCCGATTTCAACGAATGCAAACGGTGATATATAAAAGAAACATAATCAAGCATGACCACGTCCCAACTTCTTTTGTTTTCTTTACAACTAAGCTATGACTGTAGTCTATTCAGTGTTGCGTATCGAACCTTGTTTATTATAAAAATAGTGCAACAACAAGCAGAATTCACACATTTACCTATACTTATTCTCAACTGAAGACATTGAATTTATCTCTTAGGTTTTACATTATAAATATCTTAACATGCAGAATACGAAAATAGAGGCTTAGGCCCAACTTTGTATGGATTTTATGAAAATAATCTGATTTTAGAGAAATGAAAAGAAAAATGTCCACACCCTACACAAAATATTTATGGTTCCCCGGGAATACGTATGTGTTGCTTGTATATTAGAATCGTATTCCAGTTACAGAAAGAAGTACATATCATGCTAAACTATATATATATATATTTATCGTCTATTATTCTTTGACAAGTAGAGTAGAGAATAAAAATAAAAAATTTAAAAAATTCAAAAAAGGAAATAAGATTAATTTTTTA